TTTATTTAAAATTTTTATTTTATGTAATTAATACATTTAAATTGTGCTCAAAACTAATATTACCCCAATAAAAAAATACTACGTAGTTTGCCCCCAACGAAAATAAATCTTCAAGTAGCAAAAATATTTATTTTTCATTTTAAAGTACATGATTTCGAAAAAAAAATTTCATATTAGAGGTTCGATCCGTTCAGGTTGAAACGGGTTTGAACCATTTTTAGCGTGTTATTTCGGGTTCGGTCTACAAAACTTTTGTTCAGAACTTACTCTCTCCATCCTAATTGAATTTTTTGGTCTGTTTTACGATGTTTGACCAACTTTATTTTTAATTCATTTTTTTTTACAGTGGGTGTAAAAATAAAAATAAAAAATTATATATTTAAAAACTAAGTCAAAAGATCTAAAAAACTAAATGTGGCATAGTTATTTTATTTTACTCGTATCAAATAAGAAATTAAAGTACTTCCTCGAGTTCCTTCGCCCAAAAACTTAAATCACTTTCTTTACCTAATTTTGTTACTTATTTGATAAAATAATATATAGTATTGTCACCCATGATTTTGTAGAACTTTTGATTTAGTTTTTAAATATATAAATTTTATTTTTTACTTTTACATTTACAATCAAATAAATTGAATTGAAAATAAAGTTAGTCAAAACTTGTAAACACAAACGAGAAGATAGTTTTAGGAGGGAATATAAAATTTAATCTCATGAATAGTTTAATCATATCTAAAGTGGGACATACCATGAAAACTTTAGCTCCGGAGTTGAGGGCATTAATGATCATTTTCCGTTCGACGGGGCCGGTGATCTCCACCCTCCGGTCCGCCACCACAGGGGGGACGGGAGCGCACACCCACTCTCCCTCCCTCACGTGTCTAGTGGCCGGATCGAAACCGGGGAGGCCGCCGGAGTTGTACCGCGCCTTGTCGCCCTCCCTGCAACTCATGGCGTACCTGACGCGGTCCCGGAACCGCCGGTGGAGATCCGCCACAAAGCCGAGGGCGTCTCTGCTCAGGATCTCGGCGAACTGGGGATCGAATCTGCCCCGGATGTCCACCCCCTCCGCCACGTCGTAGTGCCCCGCCATCGCTGTGCTGATCGATCGTTCTTCCTCTTCTGTTGTCTGGTTGGTTAGAGAATGGATGATGAAGGAGAAGAAGAGGAAGGGAAGAGTTTGAAATGATGGAATATATAGAGAGAGCCGGAAAGAGAGGTGATGATGGGGTTGAGGTTTGATTTGGGTGGTTCAGCTTCATTTGGTTATCCTTTCGAGATATCGTTTGTTGAGGGTAAATTTGTCATTATCAGCAATTTGGCATTATAGTTTTACTTCTCATTTGACCATCCATACTTATCTTGGTTAATTGAAAACAAAAACTGAAATGAAGTGTAGGGTTGAGTAGTAATTAAAAGATAAAAGTGAGGGTAGTAATGACACAACAACAACAACAATCTAGGTTTAGGGAGGGTGTGTGTATGCATACTCGAAAGTAGAGAAACTGTTTTCAAGAGACGCTCGACCGATCTGCATAGATAGAACATGCATTGGATACAAAAAGCAGAGACAATGCACATCACATATACAAGCCCAGACTAGAGCTAACGAAAGAAACGTCATGCAATCAACGAGCACCAAGCATACAAGGCACATGAATGTGCATATCCAACTACTCTAATACTATCTCTTCAAATGCTTCGATCTAAGATCATATCCTCGGTAAAGCAAATAAGTCCTAAGTCTTGTCTAATTATTTCCTTCCAAGTCTTTCTAGGTCTATCTCTTCCCCTACTCCCACCAACCAATGTAAGCTTCTTGCATCTCCGCACTCAGGTATCAGCATCCCGCCGCTTCATATGCCCAAACCACTTCAATCTCCCTTCTTGTAGCTTATCTTGCACAGGTTTCATGCCTATCCGACCTCGGATAACCTCGTTCCAAAACCTATCCAACCTCGTGTGTTCACACATCCACCGTAACATTCGCATCTCTGCAGCATGTAATTGATGAATGTGGGTTTTCTTAACCGCCCAACACTGCCCCATATAGCATAGCTGGCCTAACTACGGAGCGGCAGAACTTACCTTTATTCCTAGCTGGAATCTTCTTATCTCACTGAAGCCAACCTCCACTTTGCCCAAGCCACTTTCACACGATGTGCGACATCTCCATCTGACTCCCTACCTCGCTAAATGATCGAGACAAGATGTTAAAACCTATCAACCTTGGGAACTAGGTGCGAATCCATCCTAACTTCCATTCTTGGGCTTATCTTCTAACCACTGAAAAAACATTCCATGTACTTAGTCTAATTAGTCCTACTTAGTCTGAGTCCTTTGGATTCCAAAGAAAGGCGTCAGAGATTCAACTTGTCTTTTAGTCCCTCTCGGGTATTGCCAATAAGCACAATATCATGAGCAAAAAGCATGCACCACGATACCTATCCTTCAACACTATGCGACAAGACGTCGTCCATCACCAAAGCGAACAAGAAAGGGCTAGAGGCAGATCCTTGGTCTAACCCTACCTCTACCGAGAAAGGCTAAAAATCACCACCGGTAGTCTTTACCTTAGTCCTTGTCCCACTTTACATATCCTTGGGCGCTTGAATGTAAGCGATCGAAATAAAGTCCCTTCAACTCAAGACACCTCCATAGGACCTCCATTGGCACCCTATGGTACGCCTTCTCAAGATCAATAAACACCGGCCATATGAAATTCTTCTTCTTAGCCCTACACTCTTTCATCAACCTTCTTAAGAGGTGTATGGTCTGTATATATGGTCGATTTGCCCCTCAGAAACGACTTTTAAAGAAATTGCTAAAAAATGGGGAAAAATTTATGGAGGGACAAATAAAAAAGTAGGAAGAAAAATTATTGATGAAAGAAGTAAGTTTTTTTATTGTAAACACTAGTTGTAAAGTTGTCCATGCTAAAAATTATCATTAGCTGGCATTTTTCAACAAGATGAAATGTTATACTTCTTCAATTGTGTCTCATGTCTTTATTCTTCTTTCGAAGAACGTGAAAAATCTAATTTTTTTGAAAATGATTTTATATGTAAAGTGGTATTGAAATAAAGCATATAAATTATACTGTATAAAACTACATAAAAAGTTTTACAAATCAAGAAGTGACAAGAATATTTTATTTTATCAAATGATCAATGAAAAGTTGCATACAAGTATAACTTAAAGTAACATGCATGAATAGTTTTTGTAGTCTTTCATAAGTGAGTAAGTAGTCCTCAAACTTCTAAAAGTTGTGAAATCATCTCAAATTAAGTTATATATTTTTTATTTACAAGGTCAAATTTCACTCATTTTTTCTATTTTCGTAGAGCGTTTGATATAGTTTATAATTTGAAAATTTTATTTCTAAATTCTATTTAAATCCTCAATTAAGTTGTATTGAAATAATTTTAGTCAAACATCATAAACCGAAACAGACAAATGAATATGAGATGGAGGAAGTAGTACTCTAAATTCAGTATTATCCAAAACTCTCTCCGTCCCTAAAAGATTGCCACAATTTGACTTTTTTGGTCAAATTGTGGCACCCTTTGACTATAAATTATAGAAAATGTATATTTAATTATAATGTAAATTTAGTAAAACTGTGTTTATTTTAAAATTTAGTTTTAAAATATCAAATTTTAATAAGATTTAATTATTTTAAACTATATTTAATTCGTGGTTAAATGATGCTACAATTTGACCAAAAAATAAAACTATAATAATGTTTTAGGAAGAGACGAAGTGCTCCGTAACATTTTTTAAGAACGAGGAGAGCAATTTATGATGTGAGTCATCAGAAGAGAAGAGATAAGTGATAAGAAAAATGATGCATGCGTCCATCCTTTGTCTCCACATACAAGACTTTCTTCGTCTAAATTTAAATCGTCTCTTTTGGTTTATAATATTTAACTATATCTTGTTTTATAAAAATCTATCTGAAAACTTGAATAAAATTAAAAAATAAAATTAACATATTTACAAACTACATAAAAAATTTACTATCTTCATTCTAAATTAAATTGCATGTTTATTCACAAATTAACCTTTATTCACTTTCCTTTCATATTTTTATCAGGCGATTTAAATTGGGACAAAGGGAGTATTAAACAAAAGGTGAAATGATTATATTATTTTATCAAATGAGTAACGAAAATAGGAAAAGGAAAAAATAAAATTTAACCATTTAAATACTCCGTAATAAGCAGACTAACTTAATTTGGCCGAAGAAAGTACTATATATGTATAGATCTTAGCTTAAGAAAAATAAATACTCCCTCCGTCCCATTTTAAATTGCCGGTTTGCCTTTTTTCTCCATCCCAAAATAAGTTGCCTGTTAGTTGTTTTCGTAAATTTTTAAAAATAAAATACCTAAATTATCCCTAAAATAAGTCACTCTTCTTCACCTTATCTTCTCATTCATCATCACCCTTTCTAAAAAGTAATGGCAAATTCGGAAAATCAACTCTATTTTTTATTTTCCTTAAATATACCCAAAAATCAAAACAGGCGATTTAAATTGGGACGAGAGAGTACATTCGGAGTATGATATTTAGCTAAAATCCAAAAGTCACAAATCGACGATAAGGTTCTGTTGTTGATGATCATATCGTGCCAGCCTAGAAAACCCCATCCGCCACACAAAAAAAAAAAGTCCTATACAAGGGTCTTTCCATTTTGGATAAATCCATTCTATTTATGTTAAAGTTCACAATTTTTACTCTTAAAAAAACAAAAGATAAACTTTGAGGGCAAAATTATCTATTTAACATAAAAGAAATAGATTTAACCAAAATGGGAGTGGATTTAACAACACCCACTCACAAGTTAACCTTGTTTTTAATTTAAAAACATTCGGAAAAAAATATGTTCTTGAGAGTGGACCCTTTTTGGGGACAAATACATGTTCAGGAAAAAAGACACATTTAATGGAGTATATGAGGGGGTATTGTGTTTATTTCAGTCATTTCAAGCACTGTAAAAAAGTAACTAATGCATAGCTTTAAAATTACTCAACCAATTCAACTAATTGTAACCTTGTCTTCACCCATTGTATTTAAAATAAAAGAAAGATAATGTTAATGTAAAAAAAAGATGTGGCGGAACAAACTATAATATAAATCCAAAAAGATATCTCTAGTTAAGTTCAATGGTGTATAATAAAACAGCAGCAGGTCTTAGTACAAACCATTCTCTTAGCCTTTGTGGATGGAAAGACAATATGATGCAAGCAGTGGTGGTGGCGGTGGTGGCGTTTGGTTCAAGTACCGATATATATATGGCTAGTATTTGCCTCTCCCCGCTGGGGTAAAACTTTGAAGGCCAGACCATGTGGAGGATCCCCTCAAGCAATCGTTTGCACAGCTCTGTCAAAATTTTCTTCTGCAGACAATGAGCGTTTCACGAGCATGTGGTTTGGATGCGACAATTTCAGCTGGCTGCAAGATTAAGTGCAACAAAAAATACTTACACAACAATAACAACCCAATAAGGTCCTACGAGTAAGATCTAGGTAGGGTGCGTGTACATAAAAAAATCTTACTTGTATACAAAATTGAAACTGAATATAGAAAACAACCCCGAACAGGGCTTAACATGTGCAGATATAGCCAAAAACACGGAAAATGATTGAAGACCCGACGGCGTCTTGCGTCGAGATAAAATATTTTGTGTAATATTTTTCAGACTGATAACTTCTAATAAGCCCATCAATAGAAAGCTTTCTCAATATAGTCATAACATGTCACACTGTCTCTGTGTATCAGTTTGCCATTTCAACTGGCCCTTCTAAAAACATTTCCCAGCTTATCTTATTCTCATAAGCTTCTTGAATAGCTTTACAAAAGCCCAAAACTCGTTTATTAACCCTAACATAACTCACATGCACACACACAAATCATGAACGCTTCCAAAAATATACTCCGTAATAATCCTTACTGGACCCAAGTGTATGAACATACAAGTTAGATGCTAGTTGCTACTGAGTTTATTTAATAGTTTAGAAATAGGGGGTGATCTTTGTTGGACAATTTCATTTTTGGTAAAACGTGGAATTTGCCATGATATTTTATACACAATGAAAGCCAACCTAAGAGTGTTTGATTACCCAAGTACCAACCCACGTGGTGAGCTTCAATTTGTTCTCTGACCCATTAGCTAAAAATTTCCCCTTTTAATGTGTTGAGGCAAATCAACAATTGAAAATTGAGAACTTTCCAATGCAAAAGAATCCCTTGAATTGTAGAATGAAATGCATCGTTAGGTCTTGGGAATTTACCAACTTTGCTTTGAGGGGGAAAAGGCTTTATTAATTTAACAATGGTTTTTTCAGTCAACTCAGTCCAATTCCACTTTTTTGGTAAACCTAACTAGATACCGATGCATAATATAGAAACGTGCATTATAGAAATTCTATCATAGTTTTGCATTTTATTTTCTAAGTGCTACTAACTCTAACACCATAAGTAATTCAATGTGGACTTTTATGAGCATAAACTACTCTACATTATGTTGGCCATCTTAATTTTATAAGAATAACCTGAGGTAGCGGGAAGATGGTTTCCCAAGGTGGAGACTGCAAACCACCAGATTTGCAAGTGTTTCAGGATCCTTTGCATCCTGCGTCATCATCATAAAAAACTCATGTTGGCTAAATATTAAAACGAGGACATGTTACCCAAAAAATATAACACAGATTATCAAGCACTCGAAGATTGATCCAAACAGAGAAGTTGCATCTAGGGCTCATATTGGCATAATATTGATAAATGATAAGTGAAAACAATGACATGTACCAAGAAATCAAAAGACAGTATCACGGACTCGGTTATTTCAAACCCAATGTGTAAAGACAGCATGTCTTTTGAGTGACGAGAACAAACAATACCGTAAATCATATGAGCATATACCAAGCAGTCATGCTAAAATCACCTTGTTTAAGGCTTCAAGCAATAATGTCTCAGCCTCATCAAAGTTTCCCATATGCATGCAGCAAACAGCCTTGCCATTCAGCACCAAGCTGGTCATAGGGTACTTCTCAGAAAAATCTTGGTAGATAAGATAGGCTTCCTGTATCTTTGACCCACCCTGGTTTAAAAAGAAAGCAATTCAACACACTAATAGAGCTTTCGGTATTCGTCAAGGTAGCAGTAGAAAGAACAGTATACCACAGCTAAGTTTAACCATGCATTTGCAAGTTGGGTCAATGTATGGTCCTCATCAACTTGCTGCATGATTCTCAGTTGTTTCTCTGCATAATCTGATCTATGCATCTTAATAAAGATCTGGACATTCAAAGCATGCCTGCATAAGCAGAACACATACTGAGTCTGGAAGCTGATTCCCAAAAATGACCACATACACTAAAGAGAAATATACACAGTGTAGAAACAATCTAACCAAACTGCAGAATTTGGAAACACAAAGATCTATACAGATAAAGAGAAAAGCAAAAAAATGACGCACAATTCCATAGTTCCTCCAGCATTTGTATACTTCAAAGCTTCATTGTAATCCTGCTCATGCATGAAAATAATCCCAGCAATGAGGCGCAATACAGGATTGTTTCCAACAGCCGGATCTCCTAACAACTCAGGGAGACTTGAAATCACTATTTCCTACAAAGCAAAGAAATGAAATCAAAAAAATGAAATGGAAGGAGATCTACACTTCTAATCAGGAAAAAATCCGATGCATTTGAAATGATTTTTTTTACAAAAAAAAAAAAACGAACTGCATGACATGAATTTAAACCTAAAATCCTGAAATTTCCCGGCCGGATCCAAAATTAAGACAGATACCGAACTCGAATCAAACATGTGGATGGCTTAATTGGTGCGAGAGGGGACTCGAAACAACCTTCTTATCGGGACCGGAGAGGTAAATAGCGAGCAATTTGACGGCTTGGAGAGGTGTGGCTGCCGAATCATCGATCTCACTGATAACAAGCGGGTAGCTGGCGAGGGCAATGTAGGATCTGAAGACGAGAGCGTCCCTCTCGACGGCGTCTTCCGGTGAGAGATTGGGGACCTCGCTGTTGTTGATGGCGGCTTGATACGCCCCCAAGTAGAAATTGTTTCTCAGGGAAAATAACGGGTCGGGTCCGGCAGCTGCCATTGTTGCTCCCTTCGCTCCTTCCCCTCTGATAAGCGTGTGGATTCAGATCGCGGATGGGGATGAATTGTTCAAAGCAGAAACAGATTCAAAAAATAAAAATAAAAATAAAAATTGGGCTACAAAGCTCGAGAGGCGAATAAATTGCGTTTTGATCCTTCAATTTTCCTTTTCTTATAGTATGGTGATTTAAATATATTTGGAAAGCAATAACATAATCTTGACATTTGGAATTAATATTATGAGATGTCATATATACCCTGTTAAAAAAGTGATGATTTCTATCACCTAATTTTCTCGGTAAACCCCATACTCTGGCTCTTGAATTCATCACCTCACTCCCATCAATTACTTCCTACAAGATTTAGTTGACTTTGAAGTCAATTTTTGACTTCAAAGTCAACTTAATCTTGTGGGCTGCAATTGACGGAGGTGAGTTGATGGGTTCGGATCAAGCCGGGTGAGGGTTTACTAGAGGAGTTAGGGGTGTAGAAACCATTAACTTTTCGAACATAATAGTGTAGAAACTTCAAATGAGACTCATGGCATATAATGACATGGGGACTAATATCATGGAAAAACCCCCTAGAAAAACATTGAATCGTTCCGAAAGATGCATTTTATACTATGTTTTGGAAATTCAATAAAAATGAAGGAAATCATAGTGAACCAAGAAAAAAAGTTCCTATTACTTGAACTTTGTAGGAAAATAATTTCTAAAATTTTGATAGCAAAAAAAAAAACATCTACATGACAAGTTTGTCAGAAAGAGGAAGGAAACATTTGGGAGAAGCTTAACTAAATCATAGGATGGGTATCCGAGGCATTTTTCCGAGATTTGAAGAATTTCAAACCCTCAAAAGGTGCATACTTTTCACTCACGACATTCTTGAAGTAAAAGAACTCTCTGTCTTGCTCACCCATTCCAATCAATGTCCTCGAAGTTTGGCACTTAAATTGCACAAGATTACTTCAAGTAATTGGGAAAGAGATAAAAGAATGCAATTCCAACTTCATAATCCTGATTGAATACACTCCTAAGACCTAGTAAAACTCGTCCTTTGGGAGTCACGTTTGTAAAATCACTAGCTTGTTTGGCATTCCAAGAGAACAAACAAAAATATTCTCAATAAGACTCAAGCATGCAGCATTTCGTGTCATGTGAAACTTGCACCATGATCAATAATCTATTGGTGTAGAGATTTACATGTCACTTTGTTAACCAAAAAGAGATTTACATGTCACTTTGCACCATTATCAATTATTTGAAAACAACTATGTTATCTTATCATATCATGTCATTTCACACTATTTGCATCTCTCATTTTTGGATCGCCCTTTATCTTGGACTTGTAGTGAACTACGTGTGTACTATTCCGTGTTAAGATGGGAATGGAAATAGCTCAAAAAGATTGATATAATTACTATTCGCCGCCACAAGATGCATCTGCTTTCCGAGAGTTCATCCCTTAGAAATGCTTGATTTGGAGCAATTTTAGGATGAGTGATCCTTAAGTTCCCTAGGTGCGCACGAGTAAAGACATAGTGTATGAAAAAGATTTGTGTGGTTTGTGTGGTCAGTTTACAATTTTATGAGCAAACACTTACGATCAGAGTGGGAGCCATGATGTTACAACGTGTGTGTTTCACCTTTGCATCATCACTATTTTGAGACATAGCTAGGCTAGTCACACACAAATTAAGAAATACCATGCAAATTGCAAAACATAATATGATTGATATTGAAATGATGTCAAAGGTTAAGAAAAAGTAAGAATGATTATATTGTGCACACAATACAAATTTATTTCTAATAGTTTTAATTTTTCTAAATTCTTCCATTTTTCAAGTTTCTTTAAATTCTATCAAGTTCTTTTCAATTTTTTCATCAGTTTCTTCCAAATCCCATTTTATTTTTTGACCTTTTTCAATCAAAAAGAGTAGAACCATAATGATCTTGTCACAAATTGCATATCTAAACATTTACACTATTAAAGTTCCCACATCAGAAAATAAAGAAGAATACCACTAACATATATAGAAGGATGAAAGCCTACCTATCAGCTTAAGCTTTTAGGTTTGAATAATAAATCCTGACTTTATATGCAAGTGATTAATTTTACCCGAAGTTCCACCCATTGTTCTCGGCTCGCCATAATTTCTACATGGTATCGAAGCAGGTCCGGTCCGGGTTCGATTCTTCCTAGTTGTTTGGACGTGGATTTAGCAAAATGACCTGCATGTCTATAGTTTAATTGGGTTGAGTTGGCTAAAAAGAGATTGAGATATCCCCGCTCGTTGTGTGGGGTAGCTATAAGAGATTGAGATGCTACACTTGTTTGTCCAAGTGCTAACTAGGTCAGACTAGTTACTATTTGAGGGAGAGTGTTAAGTTAGAGTTCACGGTCATATTGAAAAATAAAAAAGAATACCACTAGCATATATAGAAATGTGAAACCCTACTTATCACCTTAAGCTTTTGGGTTAGAATAGTGGATCCTGACTTTATATGCAAGTGATTAATTTTACCCGATACTCCACTTGTTGTTCTCGGTTCGCTAGAATTTCTACATGTACTATATTTAGACGGTTTAGTTCAACAAATTTGAGAGGAAAAGACATGGAAATAATTTCCCCTCATTTTTCTCATCAAAAAATGGGAGTAATTTAGTTTTCCATCCTCCTAGTATATTTTGTCTTCTTATTTTCTTTTCCTTTCACTTTTTCTTTTCTTTTTCCTCTCTGACTAAACAAGAAAAATATTTTCCTTCTCATTTTCATTTTCTTTTCATCTCAATTTCCTTGAACCAAATAAAGTATTAAGTGTTACAAAAACACCCTCATAGTGATAATATATCTTCAAATGAGAAATTAATTTACTAATTTTAAACTCCTCATAGATGAAATTGGTACAAATCCTGGCCTTAATTATTTAGTCAAAGCCTCTCACAAAAACAAACTTTGAGGTTAATTATATGCCTAAGTATGCCGTAATTATTACCAATAATTGAACTAAATAATGCACGCATGCATAATCACGAGTAGAACTTGTAGTCTTTGGCTTGTAAAACTATTTGCCTCAGTGCACCTATTGGAGCTACCGTCATCAAACCAACCCCAAGTACAATGCATCCCTGAAATTAACAAAAACAAAAAGAGAGGAAAACTTTAATTTTTGTGATACATATAATTATAACTATGGGTACACCAAAATGAGATGCTCCATTTATACATTAAGCAAAAACATACACACACTGACACTCATGCATGCGCGACAAATTTTTTACAAATGAAAAAAATACTTCACAAAAAAGGAAAATGAAAAAGAAAAACAATGCTACCACGTATTTTCTCTCCGTCCAAAAGCGTTCTTCTGAATCACTATTTACATGGTCAAATTTGAACATTTTCTTTAATTTTTACTTATTTTCATTAGTTATTTGATAAAATAACATAGTCTTGTCACATCGTGTTTTGTACAACTTTTGATGTAGTTTTGAAATATATAAATTTTATTTTTTAATTGTGCACCTACAATTAAATAAATTAAATTGAAAAATTAAAGTCATCCAAACGGTTAAACCTCGTAAACAGAAATATCGAACGTTTTAGGAGTAATAATTAGTACGTACTCTATGTGTAAGAAGGGTGGGGATTAAAAGCATACCACGTTTATGATCCAAGTCCAGCTTAAGATCTTGGGCTTCTTGATCTTTAGCCATATGATGCATGGAAGCTGCAAGATTTATAGACCAAACAACTAAGTTAGATTTTTTTTTTAAAAAAATTATTTTCATGAAAATGTTACGGAGTAAATAATAACATGAAATGGTATGATACAAAAAAATAAAATAAATTATAATATAAATTTAATATTGATAGATTTATTTACTTTAAAATGTGTTTTTCAAATACGAGTATTATACTTTATAATCTATATATTTATATACAAATAGATATATCAATGATTAAATTATTGTACTACCTCCGTCCCGTGAAACATGGGACATTTGCTTTTTAGGAGGGATTTAAGGGAGTGTATTTTGGTATTGAATTTCCAAAAATGTCCTTTGATGTGATGGGTAAAAGTATGATTTGATGGATATATTATTAGTAAAAAGGTATGATGTGATAGTTAGGGTATGAAAAAGTAAGGGATAAAAGTGACTTTTTAATAGAAATGAGAAGTGTTTTGTGGGACGGATAAAAAAAGAAAGGGGAAATATTTCACGGGACGGAGGTAGTATTAAAGATCGTGAAAAGTCATAAAGATATGGGAATACTGGGAGGTGACTTACAAAATAAGAGGTAGGTGCAAAAGCAAAGCCTCCAAAGAATCCAAGTAACCCACCAAAGAATGGGAATGTGCATGCCACTAACATAGTCAATGCTGCACCCACAATGTTATTTATAGTAAAAAAAGGTTTGATTAAGAAACTCAAAATGAGACAAGAAGAAAATAAAATTAAACGAACAAATTTGTTTATTAGACACTTTGTAAAGTCAAATAAAAAGGTCATTAAATTTTTTTAAAAAAAAATCGACAAATTAAAGATTTAATTTAAGTAAATATTACTCACCAACGTAAGTAGTACGTGTGAGGAACCGAAGTAGTGTGGTGGGTTTAAAGTGCATGGACCTCACTAGCCAACCTTCCACCGTATCAAATAGTGGCATTGCAAACACCTACACATACATATATGAGTAAGAAATATTTGTATTAAATAACACTAAAACTTAAATCATTTCTCTAAATACCACTTAAATTGTTTTATTCTCTAAATAGCACTTAATAATGTCCATAATGTCCAGTGGCGGATCCAGAACTTTAAATAGTTGGGGGTACAAAATATCGGAGTTTAAGAGAAGTGTCTAAGTTTTTTTTTAATAGACAGTTTAAAATAATAATAAAAAAAGTTAAAAAATTTATTCAAATATTTTTTGAATGTGAATTTTTGAATAGATAATTTAAAATTTTATTTTATAAAATATTATTTATATATATTGAAACACACTTTAGTTGGGGTCCCTTCAGTTTTAATTGGGGTCAAATATAATGCATGAGTGTAAAAAATTAAAAAAATTAACCTTAACATCCAAAAATAAGTTGGGAGCCATTGCCCCATACTCCTAAGGCATAGGTCCGCCTCTGATAATGTCCTGTGATGGCGAAA